ACTGATAGTAGTGCTAAAAGTATCACAAAGCCGAAGTAACTTGGCTGACCGCAATGTTAGCCGAGGTAAAGATGTCAGCCGAAATAAGTGGACCTGGTGGTTAGCCGAGGTATTGGTGAGAAAGGATGTCGGGCTTGGTATAGCTCGGCCGGTCTTGGTATAACTTGGCCGGGCGCCATCTACATCATTACTTAAGTGTGTGACCGAGGTAACTTAACTCGGTGTGGTTGTAGCAGCTTATTAAAAGGAGGTAGCATCAATGGCGAGGGCAGAGCTGTATATAGCTCGGCAGGGTGGCATCCGTTAGATCGACTTTCGATCACACGGTCCGAAGGGCAGGGGACCGAGATAAATCAGTTCGGGCAGGAATGTATAACCGAGGTAAAAGGTTCAGCCAACTCACTTGGCTTGCAGTGATGAGACTCCTAGTAGGACTCTGCTAAGGAGAGTTAGAGTCCTACTGGGATTGTGTAAACCATCTCACTTGGTTGGTAGTGAGTAGGAGTATGACTCCTAAGAGGACTCTGCTAAGGAGAGTATAGTCCTACTAGGATTGTGCAAAACCATCTCACTTGGTTGGTAGTGAGTAGGGTGTGTAATTCCTAGGAGGACTCTCATAGGGAGAGTTGGAATCCTACTAGGATTGTGCCAAAGTAAAGTCTATAAAAGCTCATGACCAGACCTTTGTACAGGTATCCCAATTCTTATTTTAGAATACACAGAGCTTATTGTCTATAATCTAATTGGTGACTTAGGCATCGGAGGGGTTTCCGGCACACACCCGCCGGTTAGCTCACGTTTGTGTTTTCAGGTGGCAAAGCAACATTGTTTGGAGGAGTGCAAACTTGATCAACAGGATCATACGAGAAGATTTATTTCTTTCCCGTACAATTGGCGCCGTCTGTGGGAAATTCACAAAGAGCAAAACCTCTTGATCAAATTTTCCTCTCTAGTTGAAAGCAATGGCGCACAATGAAGACTTGCCGCAATCCGCTATAGATGGGCAAACTCCAGAAGAGGGTGGGAGGCACGAAGGTTTACCTCCTATCCCACCCATAGCGGAATTAGATCCCCAGCGAAGGAATCTGCGGAGAGAAGCAAGAAGAAGACAGGGCTCAAGTCCACACCGCTCTCGGAGCCCTGATAGACAGAGGCGGAAGATGGATCATCAGGTTCTCGAAGATCGCATAAGGGAGCAAGACGAAGTAATAAGAAGAATAGCGACTGACATAGAGTTTATGAAGTGCGAGATAAAAAGCAAAAGGGTGGCAACAAAAGAGGGGAGCAGAGGCAACACACACTTTTGCCACTCAGAAGATCATGACAGACAAGTCACACTATCATAAACTGAAAGTAGAAACCTTAGGTCAGGTGATACACAATCAAAGACTTCCAGGACACGCTACTCCAGACCTGAGAGAAAGAAGACTGAAAGGGCTCGAAGGAGAGAAGACACTCAGGCTCGTGACCCCCGCAGAGTCTCCGCAATATAACGATTGGCTCTTAGAACACATAGGAGTGTCGAGGTTGGAATTCCAGAACCACGCCTCGCCTATGAACCAGCAGACAAAGCATTTGTAAGGTTGCAGAGCTCACCGTTCATCCTGACAATTGAGGACGCACCATTACCCTTAGGCTTCCATCAGCCTAAATTCATAACTTATGAGGGGGAATCAGACCCCTACACACACTTAAGCCACTTTCGCCAGGTTATGGCCGTGTATCGACAAAACGAACCCTTAATGTGTATCATGTTTCCGTCCAGCCTTGGCGACATGGGTTTCGCATGGTTTGAAAGGTCACCAAAAGGTAGTATAGCCTCATGGGCACAACTAACGGAGGCATTTGTAACCAGATTCAGAACAAACACCAAGACGCCAGTGGAGATTGACCAGCTTCTCTCCATCAGCATGGGCAAAAAGGAAACATTGAAGTCTTACGACAATCGGTATTGGGAGACCTTCAACCAAGTAACAGATTGTCCAACAAACCTAGCTATTGCATAGTACAAGCAAGGTCTGTTAGTGGGTCATAAATTGAGAGATTCAATAACAATGATGCCACCTCTTTCTATGGAAGCCCTTATAGAGTGAGTGCACCAACACATCTTGGTAGAGGAAGATGGGATGCACACCAAGGTAGGGTTCGATGCAAACAGTGATATCGGACAGAACACCTTCGGCAAAAGTTAGCACGGTTGGAAAGAAGGACTAACCAAGTGCAACAAGTCTTGGCCCGACTTGGGGGGCAATCAAGAAGTTTGGTAGGAATAACCAAACGTTTAGCTCTATGTTGGCCGGAATAACCAACATTTAGCTCTCCTAAGCCGAGATAAGGATATCTAGGCTGCAGGAAGTTGGCAGGTTTGACCAACAAGTCTTTGCCCGACTTGGGGGGCAATCAAGAAGTTTGGCAGGAATAACTAAACGCTTAGCTCTATGTTGGCCGGAATAACCAACATTTAGCTCTCCTAAGCCCAGGATAAGGATCCAGGCTGCAGGACGTTTGGTCGGAATAACCAAACACTTTACTCTAGGTTGGCCGGAATAACCAACTTAGAGGTTGACTGGAAAAACCAACACCCCTTCTAAGCGCAGGATAAGGATCCAAGCTGCAGAACGTTTGATCGGAATAACCAAACACTTTACTCTAGGTTGGCTGGAATAACCAACTTAGAGGTTGGCTAGAAAAACCAACACCCCTCATAAGCCCAGGATAAGGATCCAGGCTGCAGGACGTTTGGTCGGAATAACCAAACACTTTACTCTAGGTTGGTCGGAATAACCAACTTAGAGGTTGGCTAGAAAAACCAACACTTCTCCTAAGCCCAGGATAAGGATCCAGGCTACAGGACGTTTGGCAGGGATAACCAAACACTTCACTCAGAGTTAGCCAGAATAACCAACACTGAGCTCTCTTCAGCCAAGATAAGGATCTGAACTGAAGAGATTGGCTGGAAAAACCAACACTTACTTCTCTTAAGTTGAGATAAGGATCTAGGCTGCAGGAAGTTGGCAGGTATGTCCAACAAAATTTTTGAAACTCTTTGGCTGGGATGATGGTTACCTCGGCCAAAGCAGGTTCGCAGGTTTGACCAACAAATTTTTGGAACTCTTTAACCGGGATGATGGTTACCTCAACCAAAACAGGTTGTCAAGGTTCGTATAAACCGAGTTAGTCTGTTCGGCAAGACACAGAAAGAACGACTCGACGTATACAAACTCGAAGGATATATACGTTAAAGGCAAAAAATCAGGGCTATTCGAATTTTTGGCATGACGATGATAATAAGGAGAACAAGGATATTGGGGACATGCCATGTATCCTGGGAATAACGTCGTACCAGATTAGTGGAAGGACATGCTCAGCAACTGACAAGGCTTATTGGGACCGAACAAGCCGTGAAACCACATAACTTCTTAGCTCAGCTGGAGGAAAAATAATCCCAATCATGCTACGCAGATGGAATTAAGGGGCAATTGAGAGGGTAATTTGTAAACAAATTGGGCCGAGCTAGGAAGAGTCTTCTTTGGGAGTTGGACCGCATAACGGGTCGAGATAAGGGCTGGTGTAGCTCGGTCTTAGGCCAAGAAGACATCTCATATTTTAGGTTTGGGCCGAACTATGGACCGAGGTATCGGTAGAAAGAGGACCGAGCTAAACGATAGCTCTACAGGGCGTCATCTCGAAGTCAAGACTGATAGTAGTGCTAAAAGTATCACAGAGCCGAAGTAACTTGGCTGACCGCAATGTTAGCCGAGGTAAAGATGTCAGCCGAAATAAGTGGGCCTGGTGGTTAGCCGAGGTATTGGTGAGAAAGGATGTCGGGCTTGGTATAGCTCGGCCGGTCTTGGTATAACTCGGCCGGGCGCCATCTACATCATTACTTAAGCGTGTGACCGAGGTAACTTAACTCGGTGTGGTTGTAGCAACTTATTAAAAGGAGGTAGCATCAATGGCGAGGACAGAGCTGTATATAGCTCGGCAGGGTGGCATCCGTTAGATCGGCTTTCGATCACACGGTCCGAAGGGCAGGGGACCGAGATAAATCAGTTCGGGCAGGAATGTATAACCGAGGTAAAAGGTCCAGCCATCTCACTTGGCTTGCAGTGATGAGACTCCTAGTAGGACTCTACTAAGGAGAGTTAGAGTCCTACTGGGATTGTGTAAACCATCTCACTTGGTTGGTAGTGAGTAGGAGTATGACTCCTAAGAGACTCTGCTAAGGAGAGTATAGTCCTACTAGGATTGTGCAAAACAATCTCACTTGGTTGGTAGTGAGGAGGGTGTGTGATTCCTAGGAGGACTCTCATAGGGAGAGTTGGAATCCTACTAGGATTGTGCCAAAGTAAAGTCTATAAAAGCTCATGACCAGACCTTTGTACAGGTATCCCAATTCTTATTCTAGAATACACAGAGCTTATTGTCTATAGTCTAATTGCTAACTTAGGCATCGGAGGGGTTTCCGGCACACACCCGCCGGTTAGCTCACGTTTGTGTTTTCAGGTGGCAAAGCAACATTGTTTGGAGGAGTGCAAACTTGATCAACAGGATCATACGAGAAGATTTATTTGTTTCCCGTACAATTAATTTTGTACTACTCTAAATCTCTGTGTAAAAAGTTTAATTTTAATTACTTTCAATTTGTACTACTCATTTGATAAATTCTATAAAATTATTCTGTGTTGATACGCTTTATTATTCTGGTTATTGTATAAATTCAGTGAAGTTATTCTGTGTTTGCAATGTTAATTTGTTTGATTAAATGATGTGAAAATATTCCGTACATGGATCGAGTGAACTCCGACAATAGTTTACACTAATATACTCGAATAAGCGATTATACTTGGATGAGGTGGGTGAATCCAATCACTAGTTAATTTGCCTTTGTATACTCTAATAAATACCTTTTTATGGTTAATTAGCCTTGTTCCCATTGCACACGGACAAAGAAAGAGACAAGAACGAGAATTATTGCACTTGACTATACTTCTATCATATATTACTAAAATGATTTTTATTGATCAAATACTTATTTCCAGATTGTTGTGATTTCAGAGGTCTGGACTACAATCCAATGCAAGGAAAGCCAATTCATCCTGAATCAATAAACAAATCTACCGAGTTATGTGAGCAATGAACGAATCCAATTCCATTCGAGAAACACCACCTTCCTCTACGGCCTTCCGGGTGGCACCTCCCAATTCCTCCGCCCTCGTCCTCATCTCCTCCCCTTCTCTGGATGCCATTAGCTTCTTGACAGCTTCTGCAATGGTTGATGAAGCCACTACCGACTCCTGAAGTTCTGCCCATTGTTTAACAGCCACACCAGCCTTCAATATGTCTGTCACGAGAAATGCATTCTTCGGTTGATCTGAGTGCATCGGCCAGGCTACAATCGGCAATCCCATAGTGATGCTCTCCAGGCATGAATTCCATCCACAGTGACTCATGAACCCGCCTGTAGATTGGTGCGCCAAAATTTCAAGTTGTGGTGCCCAATCTCTCACCACCAATCCAACTCCTTTCAGTCTCTCTTCATAACCTTCTGGCAATACTTCAGCTCTCTTAACATCACCTGAGAAAATGTCCCCTTTATCGGCATCTCTCAACACCCAGATGAATTTTTGTCCGCTCTGTTCCAACCCAATGGCGAGCTCTTTGATCTGTTGATTTGTCAATGAAGTTGTCGTTCCAAACGAAACATATAACACAGATTTTGGGTCTTGTTTGTCAAGCCATTCCAAACATTTGTGTTGGCTATTTGAATTTCTGCCATTATCTACCGCTCCGGTGTTCAATGGCCCAACTGCCCATATCTGTTTGTTTTTGTCAACCTGTACCTCTTTCCATAAATCAATGTAAGTACCTTCAATTGATCTGCACGAGTTGATGATAGTTCCAGATGTAGATTTCAAAAAATCAGTTTGGAGGGTTAGTAAACTCCGGATCTCGGAAGGGACACATCCTTCATCAGATGGTAACCCTTGTGGTTCATCTACCTGGAAAGGCTTTCCCATCATTTGCCATCCGTTGAAGAACGAAGTGAACGTGCCAACAGGGTTAAAAGCATAAGTTTCAGTATTTGGTATGGTAGCGGTGTCCTGAACCACATAAGCCATGAGGACGTCGTGGACAACAGCAACTCTTCTAGCCATGGGGGAGATTTTGTGCAAGAATTCAGTCATGGGGTCACGGAGTTGCAAAGAGGCTTCAAAGGATGGTATGAGATGTGTTGGAAATTTAGAATTGGGGTCGGGGGGAGGAGAGAGGAAAGGAGGGGTAGGGAACTCATGGAAATGGATTTGGGCATAGGAAAGGCGGTTTGTGGCATTGAAGCGGAGTTTAGCCTGGTGCACGTGGGTGGCAGAGCAAGCGTAGTGAACGGGTATGTTGTAGGAAGAGATTAGGCAGGAGAGCTGGAGAACCTGGTTGAGGTGGCTATAGCATGGAAAAGGCACCATGATTACAACTACTTCAGCTTGTTTGTAGGCATCGCATGGATGTTGTTGGTTATGAACATCCATGGATGACTATATTTTCTGAAAGTGAGTTTCTCAATCTTCTATCTATTTGAAATGAGTTGATTCTTTATATCGGAATTTGTATTACGAACCGTAATAAAAATGACTCAAAGTTTGGCCATTTCTTCTTATTACAATGCTTGATTTATTTATTTATTTCTTTATTTTTGATGTTCGGGTAGTCAGCATAGTATAAAATTATATTATTATTGTAAAATATTAAGAAAAATCGCGCCGACAAGTAGAGTGATAATATCAGAATTTAGAATAATCAATGAAGAAAAGGGGTTTTCTCATTCAAAGGTTGGACTTTTTGTTATTATTTTTAAAGCAAAATCAAAGACTTTGGGACAGTTAAATATTGGCTAGTTAGCTATGATTATTTGTTTTTTTTGTTTTTGTTTTATACGCATGTATGTATATATGTTTGTAAGACCATCTCTAACGGTGAATCAAAGTTGATATCAGATTCAAATTTTGATGAAAAATGTACTTTTTTATGCTCTAACCGTTGCACCAGATTGATATCAAAATGAGATTTCAGCCAAAAAAGCATCAAACTGAGAACGAGACACAGATTTTACCAAATCACTGTTACTAACCGTTGAAAGAGGTACACCGGCCAACCAGCCGGTTGCCCGGCCGGTTGACCAACCGGTCAACTAGTAAAAGATTCAAACAGTTCAGGAAAAAAAGTTCAAACGGTTAAAAAAAAAAAAAAAAAATTTGCCTAACCGGTCAACCGGCCGGTCGACCACCCGGTCGTCCTGAAAAAAGTTCAGAAAGTTAAAAAAAAAAAGTTCAGACAATTCGCGAAAAAAATATATATATATATATTTTTGGCCTAACCGGTCAACCGGCCGGTCGACCACCCGATTGTCCCAGGATAGATTTGGTGAAAGGTGAACCGTTGGAGCGAGTGATATCAAAGTTGGTAAAATGGGTCATTTTTTATTTAGATTTGGTGAAAAATTTGAGTCACCGTTGGAGATGCTCTAAATGTTGTTCATATTCCAATATACATTTTTAATTGTCTGCCAAATTATGAATTGTGTATTTCGTTATTTTTGAGGTATTAAATATTTTAATGAAAAGTATTGTTAATTTGTTATAATATTTTGGTGGAGAAATTTTTAAATAAAAACATAATTTATTTTATTATATTTAGTTTATATCTTTTTTATTTTCAACTCATTATTATTCATCTCTTTCTAAAAGTCAATTATCTCCCATTTTCTATGCTTTCTTCCTCGCCAAGAAAATATATATCTATGTATATAAGAATCGCTTAATTGTTTGAGATTCATCTTTTCTTTTTAATTTTGGCCTTAATTTTAAATAATTTACTAATGATAGCCTATATGTTGAGTGAAAGTTTTTTCATAATTATACAAGCGTTCTTAGTTAATTATGAAACAGACTTTTTCATAATTATGCTAACATTCTTAGTCAATTATGAAACACGCTTTTTCGTAATTATACAAACATTCTTGGTTAATTACAAAACATAAATATTTTATTTTTTAACAAATTACAAATACATCTATAAAGTTTGTTTAAAATATGAATCGTTTCTATAATATTAGAAATTACAAGTTATAAATTTTAATTTAATACAATACTCAAGAAAAAAAAACTATTCTTCTTTCCAATAATAAATTATCAAAATTATTTATTGAAAAATATTTCTCATATCATTAAAAATTGTTAATTGACTTAATGATTTATTTATTAATAAAATGGTTAATTAGAAAATATTTTTCATATCATTAAAAATTGTTAATTTACTTAATGATTTACTTATTAATAAATTTAGTTATTTGTTATGCGAGTATGATTTATGTATTAATAAAATTAGTAATTTGTATATATAAGTATTTTCTTATACTTCTTTATTAGTTCAGTGAATTATCTTAATAGTTGATTATTTATTATGCAAGTATAATTTATGTATTAATAAAATTAATCATTTATATATATATATATATGTATTTTCTTCTGTTTTTGTGAATTATCTTAGTAGTTTTTTTTTAGATAGGAAAATTATCTTAATATTTGTTTTATAATTTTTTATAAATTCAGAAGAAATAATAAAGACTCATAAATTCACCAAAAATGACATGATAATAGAATTAGATTCTACTTCATTAGATATATAACAAATTAAAAAATGACACATATCATACCATATAATTCTATCGTATATCTAATGATTTATTCTATTCAATTTTATAAAATAAAATGAATAAAAAGAAAAAAACAATTAATAATAATAAAGGAAAGAAATATAGAAATAAATAATTAAAATAAATATAAAAAAATAAAATTAAAAAAAAAGGCAAAAATGACACTATACCGGTGCATTATACCAATCATTTCAAATTAGAATAATGTTTGAGAGCCACAATTTGTGTGGCTGAAATGGCTCAAAACTGCTAAAACGACGTCGTTTTGGCATGTTTTGTGCTCAAAACGACGTCGTTTTGACAGTTTTGAGCCATTTGAGTCACAAAAATTGTGACCCTCTACCATTGCCCTTTTTTTGATGCTTTGAACTTTCTGTTCCCATTTTAAATTAATATATATATATATTTAAGGTAGCGACCCACGTGGGGCTGCGGATGCCATTCCCACACTTCCTTCTTTTTGTTTGTTTATTTTATTCATTTATTATCTTAAGTGCTCCCCAAACAAAAACCTATGCCTAAACCCTATTCCATTTGTACGCTCTTTTTATTTATTTTGTTAATTTTTTTTTCTTTTCCTCCGAGTTTCTTTAACTTAGGTTCGCCTGAGTTTTCAGAGTCTACGGTGAAACAAAAAAATAAGGCTTATATTCATAAAAATAAAAAATAAAATCACCTAATTCGATGTTACTACCATCAATTGATATCAAAATAGTTATCAAAATGTATTTATTCATAATATCAAAAAAAAAAAAATTCCAAAAGATATAGTTCAAATTAACAAAATGAACTAATTTATCAACAAATCTAATCAATGAAATGTTCCAGCAATGTGAGTAAACATAAATGATTTCATATTGTGTTAAATTAAAGAGTGAGATAATAATTTTGTTTCCCCAGTAATGTGAAAAGCAAATATAAATGAAAAGAAAACATGATTGTATAATCAATTTTCTACACAAAACACACAATTCACTCACTATTTGATATCTGATAGAAAAGAAATTATGGAACACAATTTAATGAAACAAAATTAGGGCCAAAAATTAGGAAAATTTTATTCAATTAAAATATGATAGAGACGTAGGGTAAAAAAATTAGGGTAAAATTATTTATTTCATTAAAATATAGTTTATGAGAGAGAAAAATTAGGGAAAAAAATTATTTATACCATTATTTGGGCTAACTATACTTGTATATGTTTTAATTCTTCTTTTTTTTTCAATTGGGCCTAACCACATTTGTGATTAAATATTTTTTTAATTAGGCCTAACACAATTTTTTGAAACTTTTTAAATTGACCCTAAATTAATAAAAACAAATTAAACATATTTAAATTTTGAATATACTACTAATAAATTTGAAAACCCTATTTTTAGGACCTAAAACTAGGAATGGCAACGAGCCAAGGCAAGGCTGGGGATCACACTCCCCGTTCCCAATCCCCGATGGTAAAAATTTCTCCGTCCCCGACCCCGATCCTCGATGGGGCAGCTATCACCGTCCTTGTCCCCGCCCCTTAACGGGGATCGGGTTTCCCCGACTCCAAAAATTCCCCGTCCCAAAAAAAACAAAAAACAAAAAACCAAACAGCAGCAGCAAGTTAGCAACAAGAACGACTCAATAACAACATCGACAACAACGTCATCAACATCACAAAGAAAGAGAGAGATCTGAGTAGAGAGAGATCGCCGAAAGCCCTAATTGTACACACCATAGTTCCACACATATCATCATCTCCACTGTTAGAGAGAGAGAGAAGAGGAACTTTGTCTGTTAGAGAGAGAGAGAGAGAGAGGACACACATCACTAGTGGTTGCCGATCGAAGCACCACGTTTTCAGATCACACCATATAGATTAGTAATTCGAGAGAGATCGCAACCGTTGTTGTCGCCGATCGAAGCACCACATTTTGAGATCTTACAAAGATGAGAAGTATGAGGGAAAGAAAGAAACTATGAGTGAGTAAGAGGGAGAAAGAGATGAGAGACGGTGATGAAGAGAGGGATCAGAGACGGTGAAGAGAGAGAGATGTGAGGAAAAGAGATAGAGAATAAATATGAAATGAAAAAAAGATGAAATGAGAATGAGAGAGAGAGAGAAACAGTGCATCAAAGTATATATATACATATATTACTTCGGGGACAAACGGGACGGGGCCGGGGGTTGGACACTTATTACCGTCCTTGGCCCAAAATTGATCGGGAATTGATTTTTGAATACCATCCCGTCCCATCGGAGATATTTTTTGGGGAAAAACCACTTAAATTAGGGTCAGGAGGTCGGTTCCCCATCGGGTCGGTTTCAAATTACCATTCCTACCAAAAACACAAGCCCCCGTGGCCTTAGCATAAGTTCAGCCCCGCCTTCACTATAAATTGAGAGTGAACCTTCTTTTTCCATCCATGTCGTACGGTTCTCTCTATTTCCCTCCATTTGTGATCAAAATTTTAAGTTTAGATTTAAAGTGTTTAGAGTGCGTATTAATAATTTTACAAAAAATGAGAGTTGTAGATTTTATCAAATTTTACATACTTTATATTTTAGAATTTTAATCCGTCATTTTTGAAAATTCATGTAGAAATATCAGATGATTAAAGTGTTGGTGACGGATTTAATTTTAATTATTTCGAATTTGTATTTTGTTTGTTATACTAGTCATTTGGTAAATTCTGTGAAATTATTTTGTGTTGATACATTTGATTATTCTAATTATTTCATAAATTCAATAAAGTTTTTATGGGTCGGCAATGTTGATTTGTTTGGCTAGATGGCGTGAAAATATTATGTACATGGATCGAGTAGACTCTGCTAATAGTTGGTACCTATATGTCCTAATAAACCGTTGTGCTTGGGTGAACTGGGTGAGACCGATCACCGGCCATATACTGAGTAGGACTAGATATTTGGTCCTAGACAAGTTATCATATGTTTAGTTGATTTATTTGTACAATTTTGTAAATTGCTTGATTATCGAATCAAATTGTTCATGCAATATCATAAGTTGTTAGATCCTTATTGATTTATTCTCTATCTGAACCTTATCATTCCTGTTGTATTATATATTTCTTGAATTAATTTATTTTTCAAGTACAAAGCAATTTAGTGGCAATTGGAATTAAAACATTTGAGGAATTATTGAGTTAGAGATTTTGGACATACCACTATACAGCTTGTTTGGTTCTAGTTTTTAGAAAACAGTTTTCAGGAAATTCTACTCTTTTATTTTTCGTATTTTAATATTTTCAATAAATTTTTTAATATTTTAAGCAATTTTTTTTAGATTTTTAGACACATCTAACATAAAGACATTTAAAAAGTATAATATTTGTGAAAAAAAAATTCTTTAAAAAATACACTAAATACCAAAAAATACAGAAAAATAAGAAAATTTAGTACATTTTCATATTTTTGTGTATTTATTAATTTGTTAAAATATGTTTTCATAAATATTTTACTATTTAGATACATCTAAGTAATGTGCATCTAAAAAAGTAAAAAAATTACTTAAATTTTTAAACATATTCACTATAAAAAAAAAAAAAAAACTCAGTTTTCAGAAAACTGAAACCAAATACACTAATTATTATTTGAAAAATGTTAAGAGATCCCAAAAGTTCTATCGAAATTTTTACCAAAGGTCTCACATAGGTGTGAGACCCAAACTTGGTAAAAATTTTGGTAAAACTTTTAGGGTCTTTAGCATTACTCTTATTATTTTTGGAGATTTGTATAAATTATTTTTGAAGACATCTGTGTTATTATTTTAGAGACAATTTGTATTTTTGAGATTATTAGTTGCCTAAAATTATAATTTAAAGTTGACTTGATTTATTAACGAAAATTGGGATGTCACATTAATTGTAACCGTTAACAATTTTCATTTTCGTTCCAGTTGAGTTATGCAACTCTTAGATTTGTATAAAATTTCCTACTTAAAATGAGTCCGGATCCTCTACAGTGTTTTCCTGCAGTGGATCCTGTAGTGCTAATTAAACTACGTCGTTTTGTCCTATTTTTGTCTCTTTTTGAACTAAGCCCCAAAACTAGAAACGAAAAGGAAAAAACAAGAAACGGACGAAGGACCCAAAACGACGAGAAGACGGACGAATCTGTAGGCTCAACGAACGGAGGACCGGTGACTTAAAAAGCGACTATTAAAGCTTAAAACTGTTAAGAAACAATTTTATTTCTATTTCTGCATAATTAGATTCATCAAGCATTTTGTTCAATAAACCTCAAAACATTCTACACATTAAGAGCACAACCAATGTTCGGCCTTCAATAGTCCTGATCTGTCTGAATAGTTGCAACATTTATTTGACTATCTTTCAAACTGTTGGACAATCTTCACTGTATTTAAAAAGATTTAATTCTGTTGTGTACAAAACAACAACAAGAATAAAAGAAATAGAGAAAAGGAGAGAATATGTTTGATTACAAAAATCAAACTCGAAATAAAACTAAATAAATAAAAAAAACAGATTTTATTTTGTTACAAAAACAAAATTAAAATCTGAATAAATAAACAAATAAAACAACACTGAAAGTAATTAAATAACTTACTTGATTTAATTTCTTCGAATTATTTTTCTGATCAAGTCCAGTGTTTAACACTGTGTCCTTAAGACAGATTCGTCCTCTCCACGGTGCTTTCAGAATTCGGACGTCTATCTCCCAGGATGAAATGATCTACCACAAACAATAGCAGCACTACAAATTGTTTGCCTTACGAACACACTAAGTGTTTATACTCTTTCTTTCGGAAATAAAATGCAGCAAGATGAAGAATAGAAAACAGAAGTGAAATACGAAATTTCTGAATGCAAAATATCAAATGAAGGTGGTCCTATTTATAGATGTGAAGGTGGCCCTTGGATTTGAAATAAACAGGTATGTAGCTCTTGGTTTTGAATTGAACAGGTATCATACCTGTTGGGTTTTGAATTCAAACAGATTTGAAAACGGGAAGGGCCCTGTTTGGGTGTGCACTATTTCCAAAACAGGTTATTTCTGTTTGAAACCGGGAAGGGCCCTGTTTGGATGAACAAAAAATCCAAACTAATTTAATTTGAATGGATTTTATTTTAATAAAAAATAAAATTAAATTCAAATGTTTTTGGCCCAAAAAGATTAGAAGCCCAACCGGACGGACGGCGGCGGCGCGCGCGTGTGGTGATTTTTGGGTCCAATGGATCTAGCCCGTTTTGCCCATAACCTCTCCCTCTAAAACACTTGGGTACCCCTTGGGGCACACCCCAAGTATCTCACCCTAAGCCTTATAAAAGGACCCAAAACGACGAGAAGACGGACGAATCTGTAGGCTCAACGAACGGAGGACCGGTGACTTAAAAAGCGACTATTAAAGCTTAAAACTGTTAAGAAACAATTTTATTTCTATTTCTGCATAATTAGATTCATCAAGCATTTTGTTCAATAAACCTCAAAACATTCTACATATTAAGAGCACGACCAATGTTCGGCCTTCAATAGTCCTGATCTGTCTGAATAGTTGCAACATTTATTTGACTATCTTTCAAACAACTAGAAACAACATACAAGCAAGCCCACTGGATAATTTCAAATCCGCCTCTAAATTGTCAATGAAATGACCAAAAAAAAAACCTTGTGCTTGTATTCTGGGCCCCAAAACCATAAACTTCTATCTATGGTTGCCTGAAAATGGGAAATGGCCGAGAAGCTATTACCCAGGTAATTGACTCTCTCTCTCTCTCTCTACGCTTTTTTGGGTCTATCTCCACTTTTTTGTAATTGACTCTTTACTCTCTTTTTTTGTATAAACACCTCTACCCCTCTCTCTCTCTCTCCCTCTCCTGGTGGAGTCTCTTTACTTGCGACTGGGATAATGGTTAAAAGTTAGTGGTATTTTGAAAAGTTGGTGAAAAATTGACTTTTTGAATTTTTGACTTCTTTGATAATTTTTTTTTGGCAAAAAGCTGGTTTCTTTTAGATAAAAAAAGCTGACTTGTATGGCTAAAAAAAAGCTAAAAAGCTAAAAAGCTGACTTTTTACTAATCTTCCCAAAGTGCCTAATCCTGCATCTGATGAACATTTTGGGTCTCTCCTGTCGGTCATCTTCCCAGTTGCCGATCGCCGATCCTCCATTCGTCGAGCCTACAGATTTGTCCGGCTTCCGTCATTTTGAGTCCTCCGTTCCTCCTCCTCTGCTTTTCGTTTTTGGTTTTGGGTCTCAGTTCAAAACACAGGAAGAGAAAACAGAGGAAGGGAAAAAGACAAAAAAGGGAACAAAATGACGTAGTTTCATTAGCACTACAAGATCCACTCCAAGAAAACACGGCAGAGGATCCAGACTCACTAAAAACATGTGACGCACAGATGAGACATTTTATAGAGAGAATATGAAGCACTTGACTATGCTTCTATCATATATAGTACACTAATATGATTTTATTCATCGAATACTTTTTTTGGATTGTTGTGATTATGGAGAAGTTCTGAGCCACAATCCAAACAAAGGAAAAAACCCATATTCATGCTGCATCACTCAACGAACTTACCTAGTTATATGAGCAATGAATGAATCCAATTCTGTGCGAGAAACTCCACCTTCCTTCACTGCCTGCAGGGCGGCACCACCCAGTTCCTCCGCCCTCTTCCTCAGCTCCTCCCCTTCTGTTGATGTCATTAGCCTTTTGACAGCTTTTGCAATGGTTGATGAAGCCACCACCTCCTCCTCATGTGCTGCCCATTGCTTGACAACCACACCAACCTTTAATATGTCTGTTACCAGAAATGCATTCTTGGGTTGATCCGAGTGCATCGGCCAGGTTGCTATCGGCACTCCCATGGTGATGCTCTCCTGGCATGAATTCCATCCACAGTGACTCATGAACCCACCCGTTGATCGGTGTGCCAAAATTTCAAGTTGAGGTGCCCAATCCCTCACCACCAGTCCAACTCCTTCAACTCTCTCTTCATAACCTTCTGGCAGTGCTTCTGCTCTCTTGACATCGCCTGCAAAAATGTCTCCTTTATCGGCATCTCTAAGCACCCAGATGAACTTTTGTCCACTCTGTTCCAGCCCCATTGCAAGTTCTTTGATCTCTTGATCTGTCATCGAAGTTGTCGTTCCAAACGAAATATATAACACTGAATTTGGGGCTTGTTTGTCAAGCCAGTCCAAACATTTATGTTGGCTATTTGAGCTTTTGCTGTCATCTACCCTTCCCGAGTTCAATGGCCCCATGGCCCATAGCTGCTTGTCTTCACCAATTAGTGCCACCTTCATTAAATCAATGTAAGTACCTTCGATTGATCTGCATGAGTTCAAAATAGATCCAGATGTAAATTTCAAATACTTAGTTTGGAGGGTGATTAAATTTAGAATCTCGGAAGGGTAACATCCTTCAAAAGATGGTAACCCCTGTGGTTTGTCCACATGGAATGGTTTTCCCATCATTTGCCATCCGTCAAAGAAACAAGTGAACGCACAAGTGGCGTTGAAAGAATAGGATTCTGCATTTGGTGTGGTAGCGATGTCCTGAACCACATAAGCCATGAGGGCGTCGTGGACAACTATAACTCTTCTAGTTGTGGAAGAGATTTTGTGTAAGAGTTTGGTCATGGGGTGGCGGAGATGCAAAGAGGCTTCAAAGGATGGTTGGAGATGTGATGGAAATTTACTCAGAGCATTGGGGTCGGGTGGAGGAGAGACGAAATGAGGGGTGGGGAACTCATGGAAGTGGATTTGGGCAAAGGCATGGCTGTTAATGCCATTGAAGCGGAGTTTAGCTTGGTGAACGTGGGTGGCGGAGCAAGCGTAGTGAACCGGGATGTTGTAGGAGGAGATTAGGCAGGAGAGGTGGAGGACCTGGTTGAGGTGGCTTTGGCATGGAAAAGGCACCATGATTACAACCACTTCAGCTTGTTTCGTGTCATGGCTTGGATGTTGATTATGAACTTCCATGGATGATTATATTTTCTGAAAAGAGAGTTTCTCAATCTCCAATCTGCTTGAAATGAGTTAGTCTCTTTATATAGGAATTTGTGATAAGAACTGTCACAAAAATGTCCCTTTTTTTTGTTTGTCTAGATATATATAAACTGATAACCCTTTGTCAATTTAATACAATTGAATATAAAGACTATTCAGAAATCTTACACAGGCAACTAATTGTGGAATATTTGATTCAAACGTTTGCCCATTTCTTCAAAATCAAATTCAAAGGTTTGCCCGTTTCTTCTTATTGGAATATTTGATTGTTTAGTAGCTTTCCCATTTCACTTTCTTGTTTTGTTTTTTTTTTTTTTTGCACTAGAAGTCAGCAATGGACTAACTAAATTATATTATTATTTTTGGAAGAATGGGTGTATGGTTGTTATAAAAATGGTCTTATATAAATTATTATCGAAGAAAATTGTGCTCTAATATGCAGATTTCAAGCTTGTTTTCACTAAAATAATAGCAAGTAAGAGAGATAATATCGATACCATCCATTTTCAGTTATGCAAGGTCAATGAATGCAGGGTCATTGAATGAGAGGACGATGTGTACGTGGCGTGGCGCTTCCTTGACTACAAAAAACAGTTTTCAATTACGTAGTGCATGACGCATACATATATTTTCGACTAATGTTATGGATCACTAATTTGTTATCATTAATCCCACCACTAGTGAGGTAGCAATTGAAAAAATAAATAAATAAATAAAGTCACAAATACACTGTGACAATAGGTGAGACCCACTGTCATATCATTAGAACCACCACCAGTTAGTGGTGTAAGGCATTTTCCTATATTTTCAATGATTCTGATTATATTTTTACAACATTTGAGGCAATGAACATGCTGTGCCTTATATATTTTTGTTAAGTTGCTGATCAATGAAGAGAAGGGGTTCAAGGTCCCAGGTTAGAAAACTTTTTTTCTTTTTTAATTTTTAAAGCCGAATTCAAGCTTAGACTTGGGAAAGCGAAAAACATTTGACGAGTGGCTAGCTATAATTGTCTTTTGGGGAATTTACCAAAAAAAATTAGGATTTAAATCTTTTAACAAAATAAAATTTTAATTTTGTTAATTTAAATCCAATCTTTTGATTTATTTTTAATTTAAATTATTTGTTTATTTTCATGAAGTAAAATTGATATAAATAATAATAATTGTGCACGAAAATGTCTAAAATACTCTTTTTTTATTAATTTTTTTAATTAAAATACTTTTTTTTCATTAATTTATTTAATTAAAATAACAAATAATTTAAATTAAAAATAAATAAAAATTTTAAAATTTAAATTGATAAAATTAAAAATTATGATTTTTTTTAATTACACTTTGTTATGTATATAAATTTTTTCTTTTAGATTTATGGAAAAGAGCACTTTTGGAACATCTGTTTGGAAAGGAAAATGTTTGAGGGCCACAATTTTTGTGACCGCAATGGCTCAAAACTTTCAAAACGACGTCGTTTTGGGTGCAAATCATGCCAAAATGACGTTGTTTTGACATTTTTGAGCCATTGTAGCCACAAAAATTATGACCCTCTAGTAAATAATAATAATAATAATATATAATCCATTTGGGTCTTTTTCTATTTTTTTAAAAAATAAAAAATAAAAAAATCTAAGAGTGTAACTGTGAATTAACATGTTCACATCAGAAGTTGATAATCAGAAGCAAGGGTGACCATTAGAATCAGCTTTTTTAAGTTAAAATAAGTTGTTAGAATCAGAAGCTGACCCCGTTTGGTAGAACTGTGAAAAAGTGATTATAGATTATAACTTAACAGATTATAGATTTTAACTGTGAACATAAGTTGTTAACTTGTTTGGTGCAGCTGTGGGATTATGGATTTAAACAACAGAGTAGTGTTTGGTTGATAAACTGTAAAATAGTTTTTTCTGTATAATTGACTTTTTGCCCTTATATGATATAAAAATGATAATTTTGTCATTTTTTTTAGTTTTAATTAAAAAAATTATTTCATTAATAAAAGTTAATATAATTAGTATTAATTAGTATCAACTAATATAAAAATTGATACACTTGATAAAAATGTAATGGAAGTATTATTGTATCAATTTTTTTTCCATTATAAATTAATTAGTATCAATTAATTTCTTAATCAGTATCAATTAATACAAAAATTATTAATTTGTATCAATTAATGGCTAAATTAGTCTAAATTAATACTAAAATTATTAATTAGTATCAATTAATGTTACTAATTAATTTTTATTAGTATGATAATATTAATAATCAACAATTGTTATTAATTAGTATCAATTAATTATTAATTCATTTTAAAAATATACAATATTAATTTATTAATAATTAATAATACCAATTAATATTGATTTTTTAATTAATATTGATTTTTTTTTCTTTTTCTTCAAAAATATATAATTTTTTATTTTAAAATTAATATTAATATTGATTTTTTCCTTTTTCTTCAATTTTTTTTCTACGGTTTCAACGCCACCAGCAAACAACCACCAGTGGCTAAGGTTTCAACGCAAATCGCAATCACTATCGCGATCGCAACGACGACGGCGACAAACAACGCAAATCAATTGAGAGAGAGAGAGAGAGGGATCGCGATGGGTTTCAAATCGCAATCGTGATCGCAAAGAGAGAGAGAGAGAGCACGGGTCGATCGCAATGGCAGGTTAGGATTCAGATTGCGATCGCGATGGTGGTGGTAATCGGAGGTGAAGACGGAGCAGATCATGAGAGAGAGAGCGAGCGAGCAAAAGAGAGAAAAGAGAGATCGTGAAGAGAGAGAGAGAGAGAGAGAGAGAGAGAGAGAGAGAGAGAGAGAAGAGATGACGAAGAGAGAGAAACAGGAACCAGAAATCCCCAGCTGTCGCCAGAAATCGTCTCATCTCGCCAGAAATCGCCTCTCTGGTTCTTAAGAGAGAGAAAAATGAGTGTGTTTTGGTTTATATACATGGCACACTTGTAGTAACTTGAAATTGTAAGGGGCATTTAAGTCATTTTGCCTCTCAAATGGCAGCTTCCCACTTAAGCTGTTTTGGGGAAGCAACTCCTCCCCCATTCAACCAAAAAGCTCATTTTTCACTTATAAAAAGCTATAATCTACACCCATAAACTATACCAAACACTCCAAAATCACTTATTTTAAGCTATAAGTGGATTTAAGTTGAAAATAAACTGTGCCAAACAGGCACGCTGTTTGAAATAAGTTTAACCAAATAGTCCAATATAGCTTTTTGAAAGCTAGAAGTTATAAGTTAGTTCAAAAAAATCCAAACAAGCACCCCAATATATATGTATGTGTATGTAATTCACATTTGAATGGGATTCTACCCAATTGACTGTTGGGTGTTATTGGGAATTGCAGAGTTTGTCACAACTCATGAGTCTTATTTTGATAATTTAAATTATTTATTTTTTAAAATTTTATTTATATAAAAAATATTGATTTAATATATATACCCTTATATATTTATTATATTTTTATATATATATATATATATATATTGAAGACTTGAAAAAATTATCATGAATGATCTATATATAAATTTTTTATAAAATAAATGATTTAAATCATCAGAATAAATGAGACTTGTGGTGGGTCTCATGGAACAAAATTTAAAATTCAGGGTCAAATGTGTCATAATTAAAAAATCAAAAATCAAAATGGCATAAGGCTCAAACTATAAAAATTGTTAGTATAATTCGCCCATTATTCTTAAAGTAAAAGGAGCAAATAGAGAAAAAAAAATCAAATAAAATTGAAAGAGAGAAAGATTTAAAAACTGTATATATATATAGAAAGAAATATGAGAGAGGGAAATTGACAAAATAGAGATGTAAAAGAAACGAAAATAGAAGGCAGAGAGAGAGATGAGATACTAGTGACAAAATAGTTAATGCCCCGTTTGATGTAGTTGTTAAAACAGATTATAAATTATAACTTAACAGATTATAGATTATGACTTTAATCAGAAGCTATTAATCTGTTTGGTGTAACTATTGGATTATAGATTTAAGTTGTTGAGAAGTGTTTGTTAAATAAGGTGTGAAGTAGTTTTTTCAGTTAACTTTTATTTTTTATTATTCACTACTTGTCTACATTTCTTATAAATAATAATAATAATAATAATAATATATAATTCATTTGGGTCTTTTTCTATTTTTTTAAAAAAATAAAAAATAAAAAAATCTAAGAGTATAACCGTGAAGTAACATGTTCACATCAGAAGTTGATAATCAAAAGTAAGGGGTGAGCAGTTTCTCAGAATCAACTTTTTTAAGTTAAAATAAGTTGTTAGAATCAGAAACTGGCCCCGTTTGGTAGAACTGTGAAAAAGTGATTATAGATTATAACTTAACAGATTATAACTTATAACTGTAAACATAAGTTGTTAACTTGTTTGGTGCAGCTGTGAGATTATAGATTTAAGCAACAGAGTAGTGTTTGGTTGATAAGCTGTAAAATAGCTTTTTCTGTATAATTGACCTTTTTGCCCTTATATGATATAAAAATGATAATTTTGTCATTTTTTTCAGTTTTAATTTAAAAAAATTATTTCATTAATAAAAGTTAATATAATTAGTATTAATTAGTATCAACTAATATAAAAATTGATACACTTGATAAAAATGTAATGGAAGTATTATTGTATCAATTTTTTCCATTATAAATTAATTAGTATCAATTAATTGCTTAATCAGTATCAATTAATACAAAAATTATTAATTTGTATCAATTAATGGCTAAATTAGTCTAAATTAATACTAAAATTATTAATTAGTATCAATTAATATTAATAATTAATTTTTATTAGTATATGATAATATTAATAATCAACAATTGTTATTAATTAGTATCAATTAATTATTAATTCATTTAAAAAATATACAATATTAATTTATTAATAATTAATAATACCAATTAATATTGATTTTTTAATTAATATTGATTTTTTTTTCTTTTTCTTCAAAAATATATAATTTTTTATTTTAAAATTATTATTAATATTGATTTTTTTCCTTTTTCTTCAATTTTTTTTCTAGGATTTCAACGCCACCGGCGAACAACCGCCAGTGGTTAAGGTTTCAATGCAAATCGCGATCGCGATCGCGATCGCAATGGCGATGGTGACAAACAACGTAGATAGAGAGAGAGAGGGATGGCGGTGGTTAGGGTTTCAAATCGCAATCACGATCGCAGAGAGAGAGAGAGAGAGAGATGGCAGTAGTGACGCATAGCAGCCAAAACCCAGTCACAAATTATCGTCGTCTATCCTTTGAAATGTCTATCTTCATGTCTGAAACTTGTTCGTGGGCATGAAAACACCAATCCAATGCAAGGAAAGTCAATCAAACCTGTGGAAAGAGCTATGGTTCGTTGATGCAATGGCGATGGTTCACTGATCGCAACGTTAGGGTTCTAGGTCGCGACGTTAGGGTTTCAGACTGCACGAACCAGAGAGAGAGAGAGAGAAGAGATAACGAAGAGAGAGAGAGGAACCAGAAATCCCCCGCCGTAGCCAAAAATCGTCTCATCTCGCCGGAAATCGCCTCTCTGGTTCTTAAGAGAGAGAAAAATAAGTGTGTTTTGATTTATATACATGGCACACTTGTAATAACTTGAAATTGTGAGAGGCATTTAAGTCATTTTGCCTCTCAAATGGCAGCTTCCTGCTTAAGTTGTTTTGGGGAAGCACTTCCTTCCCAACTCAACCAAAAAGCTCATTTTCCACTTATAAAAAGCTATAATCTACACCCATAAGCTACACCAAACACTCCAAAATCACTAATTTTAAGCTATAAGTTGATTTAAGTTGAAAATAAGCTGTGCCAAACAGGCACACTGTTTGAAATAAGTTTAACCAAACAGTCCAATATAACTTTTTGAAAGCTAGAAGTTATAAGTTAGCTCAAAAAAACACAAAACAAGCACCCCAATATATATGTGTGTGTATGTAATTCACATTTGAATGGGATTCTACCCAGTTGACTGTTGGGTGTTATTGGAAATTGCAGAGTTTGTCACAACTCATGAGTCTTATTTTGATAATTTAAATTATTTATTTTTTAAAATTTTATTTATATAAAAAATATAGATTCAATAGATATAATCTTATATATTTACCATATTTTTGTTATAAAATGAATGATTTATTCTTAAAATTATATATATATATATATATATTTTGAAGACGTGATAAAATTATCATGAATGATCTATATATAAATTTTTTATAAAATAAATGGTTTAAATCATCAGAATGAGACTTGTGGTGGGTCTCGACCCCACCACGAGTTCCAACAGACCCCTCCACTCTAATAGTGGACTGGAGATAATCTAATTCTTTAGATATTAATGTTATCTTTGTGGAATCTATAGCATCAATGATAAAATTGTGTAACTAAATATCATATCAATGTGTTGCTTTTCGTGATTGATATATACAAAAAAGAAAAAAGAGAAAAAAAAGAATTATAAAATAAATGATTAAAATTATCATAATAGAACTCATGGTAAACCCTCACAGCCCATCGGGCTCCAATAGGACCCTCTGCCTTCGGAGAGGATTCCATCCTTTGTATCTAAATGATAAAAGAGAAGTTTTTAGATGTATAAGATTCATACCATATAAATTTGTGTAAATTTTTACAAATATACATAAATTATCTCTCAAAATAGCGTAAGTTATCACAATATACGTAAGTTGTAATTTCGTGATTTCTTAAATTTTTATAGATTAATTTACGTATGTTTATAAAAACTTATGCAATTTTATAAAATAATTTTCATATATTTGTGAAAACTTATATAAGTACATATGATATGCACTTGCACATTTAAGAATCACTTTAAAAGTAACGGTGAACCTAATATTTTGAAAAAATTACAAAAAAAAAATATTTAGGTCGCGTTTGATAGAATTTTGTAAATATAATTTGAGAGTGTGAGTTGTATTTTGAGTTTGTGAGTTGTGGAATTATGATTTGAGTGTAAAAAATTTGTTTGGTTATGATTTTTGAATAAAGTGTTGAATTGAGTTTTAAATTGAGTGTATAATTGAGTTTTAAAAGTTTGATTTGACATGTGAAGTAAGAAAATTTATGGGCAAATTACATATACACCCCTCGAGATTTTGTATAAGTTACAAATGAAAATGATTTATAAACAAAATTCTCATCCAAAAAAAATTCAAAATGATGTGTGAATAAAGTTTTTGAAATTATGCATCAAAACAATGAATATTTCGAGTTAAAATAAAAAAACATCATTTGTACAAACATTTTGTTTAATTACCATCACTCCAATTACAAAATATCTTCCAACACAAATTACCATTGGAGATAAAAACATTCAAAATATGGGGACCGCAAGCACAGCAGGGGGCAACCCACAGCAGGGACCCCGCCTCCCCAAAATAATGTTAGTTCTTTTCATTTAACACAATGATAGCACGCTTCATCTTCCATTGTTATTGCAAAGTCTGTAATCTAAAATTTAAAGATGATGAGGTGCTCACTGATGATCAGCATTGCGACGCATAGCAGCCAAAACCCAGTCACAAATTATCGTCGTCTATCCTTTGAAATGTCTACCTTCATGTCTGAAACTTGTTCGTGGGCATGAAAACACCAATCCAATGCAAGGAAAGTCAATCAAACCTGTGGAAAGAAAAGAACCTACCTAGTTATGTGAGCAATGAACGAATCCAACTCCAGGCGAGAAACACCGCCTTCCTCCACCGCCTGCCGGGTGGCACCACCCAGTTCCTCAGCCCTCTTCCTTATCTCTGCTCCTTCTTTTGATGTCATTAACCTCTTGACACATTTTGCAATGGTTGATGAAGTCGTTAGCTCATTCCGGTTTTCCCATCGGTTAACAACCAGACCGACCTTCAATATCTCTGTTACCAAAAATGCATTCTTTGGTTGATCAGAGTGCATCGGCCAGGCAGCTATAGGCACTCCCATGGTGATACTCTCCAAGCATGAATTCCATCCACAGTGAGTCATGAACCCACCTGTTGATGGGTGTGCCAAAATTTCTAGTTGAGGCGCCCAATCTCTCACCACCAATCCAACATCTTTTACTCTCTCTTCATAACCTTCTGGCAGCTCAGCTCTCTCAACATCGCCTGCAAAAAAATGTCCTGTATCAGCATCTCTCAACACCCAGATGAACTTTTGTTCGCTTTGTTCTAACCCCATTGCAAGCTCTTTGATCTCTTCTTCTGTCATCGAAGTAGTTGTTCCAAACGAAACACATAACACGGATTTTGGGTCTTGCTTATCAAGCCACTCCAAGCATTTGTGTTGGCTATTTGAGTTTCTGTTCTCATATATTGTCCCTGGGTTCAATGGTCCAATCGCCCATAGAGGTCTGTATTGATTTTTCTGTTCCTTTGCCAGTAAGTAAGTACCTTCAATTAATCTGCATGAGTTAGAGATACTTCCAGATCTAAATTCCAGAAAACCAGACTGAAAAGCCATAAATTTTAGGATTTCATTGGTGTAACATCCTTCCATAGATGGTAGCCCTTCTGGTATTTCTTTAATCTCGAAAGGTCTTCCCTTCATTTCCCAACTGTCGAAAAAAGAAGCAAATGCAGAAATAGGGCTAAAACCATAGGATTCTGCATTTGGTACATTAGCGGTGTCCTGAACCACATAACCCATGAGAACGTCGTGGATAACAATAACTCTTCTAGCTGTGGAAGAAATTTTGTGCAAGAGTTGAGCCATGTGGTCACGGAGATGCAAAGAGGCTTCAAAGGATGGTATGAGATGTGATGGAAATTTACTTGGGGCATTGGGATCGGGTGGAGGAGAGAGGAAAGGAGGGGTAGGGAATTCGTGGAAATGGATTTGGGCGAAGGAAAGGCAGTTTATGCCATTGAAGCGGAGTTTTGCCTGGTGGATGTGGGTGGCAGAGCAGGCATAGTGGACTGGGATGTCATAGGAGGAGATTAGGCAGGAGAGCTGGAGGAGCTGGTTGAGATGGCTCTGGCATGGAAAAGGCACCATGATTACAACCACTTGAGCTTGTTTGGAGTCATGGCATGGATGTTGGTTAGGAACATCCATGGATTATATTTTTTGGAAGTGTTTTCCTAATCTCCTAGTCAGAGCCAAAATGAGTGATTTTTGTAAGAAAAGCAAAACCAACAAAATTGATGTCCAACTTTGGGTTGAAGCTGTTTTGGCTAAATATCAGAAGAAGCGGCTAGCATAAACATCAGAGGTGCCCCCCACCTGCATGAGAGAGAGGGAGAGAATATTGGTTAATAACCATAGCCCCGCAATACTGTTAGACAAATGTTAACGGGTGTCCCTCGGGTATTGTTTAGTATTGAAAACGTTAAAAAGTATTTTGATTTCGGTGAAAAAATATACAATTAACAAAATAAACTAAATTCTTATAACCAAAATAAAATGATTTCACTGGTTTAGGAGAAAAAGGCCTCCGCTCATCACAATCATCGGCCAGCACATCTGCCCACCCCCACCTTCGCCCATCCACCATCGTGGTGACCTCCTCTAGCAGCCACCACCTCCAACTAGCAACAAACACCTTTGACCACCACCTCTAGCGGCCATTAACCACCACTAGCCACTATCTCCAACCGTTGACAACCACTCCCATGCCTAACAACCACCACCAACCAACTCCCATCAGCGACCTCTCAGTTGTTTTGAAAGTAAAATTTTAAAGTATTTGTACCAAACAAGTGTTTATTAATAAACACAAGTATGTTTAGTATTTTCTGTAAATAAATAAATAAATAAATAGTAAACTTTAATGTTACCAAACTAAATCTAAGAGAAAAACTACAAATTTTATGAGGCACAGCTTAAAAACAACTTAACTCAGCTTTTGGCTTAAATTAAACTGTTTCTAAGTGTTTGGTGTAGCTTAATTGGTGTAGATTATACCTTTTTATAAGTGGAAAATGAGCTTTTTGGTTGAATGGGGGAGGAGGTGCTTATTTTTTCAACTTAAGCGGCAAGTTGAATATCAAAGACTTAAATGCCCTTCACACTTTCAAGTTATTACAAGTGTACCAGGTATATAAACAAAACATACTCATTCTCTCCCTCTCACAAAGGAGAGAGGCGATTTCCAGTGGAGAGAAGCAATTTCCGGCGACGGAAGGAGCGACGATGTGGGGTCAACACAGCACATCATCCATGTCTGAAGCCTTCACCTTATAACCCAACACAACAAGGAGCTCATCAACATCTCTCTCTCTCTCTCAATTCAAGGGTAAAACCTAACCATCGCGATCGATCTGAAACCCTAGTGCTGCCGCAATCGCAATCTGCTCCGTCGCGATCCGCAATAGCGATCTGCTCCGTCGTGATCTATCTTCTCTCTCTCTCTCACACACCAGAACCAGAGCTCTCTCTCTCTCTCTCTCTCTTTCATGTTGATCGCGATGGCTCAGGGGGTCGTTCTGGTGCTGGTGCGGTTACTAGATTTGAGCTCATCGCCGAAAATCAAGCCATTTCTAGGGTTTCGACCATCGTGGGTAAAAGAGGAGAGCAGAGAAGAAAAGAAAATAAGGAGAAAAAGAAAAGAAAATAAAATGAATAAAAAGAAAAAAATAATTAATAATAATAAAGAAAAGAAATATAAAAATAAATAATTAAAATGAATATAAAAAAATAAAATTAAAAAAAAAGGCAAAAAGGTCATTACACAGCAAAAAATTATTTTTACAGTTTATTCACCAAACACTATCTATAATCTGATAACTGCACCAAACAACTTAACAACTTAGGTTTAAAGTTATAATCTATAATCTATTGAGTCATAATTTATAATCATTTTTTCACACTTCTCCATAACTTTACCAAATGAGGTCATATAACATACAAACAAAAATAAAAATTGAACTTTCTGTCCAGCTTTGTGAAGAAAATAAAAATTAGCTTCCTTTTCATTCATTTTCCCCTCCATTTTCCTCCTCAAATCAAGATCCAAAAGCAACGTAAAGGAATACAGATAATGAAGACAAGAAAATACAGCAATAATAATGAAAAAATGAACACACAACTCTGTGACAATCTTTAAGATTTCAAAATTTTCCTTTCTTTTTGCCACAATTTCCTAGCAACCAAACAGAACATTACAAATCTGTGTTCCAACTTCCAAGTTTATTTCCTTGTGTAAAGAAACAGATAGATAGAGAACTTACCGAAATGATATTGATATCCCAGATCCGCAACAAAATGCCCAATCAAACACCAAAAATCCACAATCAAGTACGATCAACCCCAACCGAGTAGAGTACGTTTGGATCGAGAAGAAGAAAAAAAACTACTTCAATCGTCGCCGGAGGAGACTCAGAATACGCCGCCGCCGGAAATGGTATTGTCTGGATGAGGCGACGGCCGACGAGGCGAGAGCGAGAGAGAGAGAAGGTAGGGCTTTTTTTATGAGGGAAGGGAATAAGAAAATGAAAAATTACAAAGTAATAAATAAATTAAAAAAACTAAAAATCTATGATTTAATGTTTGTAATAGGCTGGACATATGATTATTCGAGTCATAAAAAAATGTTCAATCCGCAATGTTCGTATCTATTTGGGTGATTTTGCAAAATCTTTAAAATTAGATATGGGTTATGATTTTTTATTTTATTTTACGGATGACAAGCGAGTTACGGATTTTACCCATTGACTACGATTCGTAACTCGAATTTAGAGGCTCGAATTTGACTTGAATTCGGAAAAGAATAAGAAGAGGAGAAGAAGAAGAAGAAGGAAGGAGGAGGAAGAAGGAGAACTGGAGGGAAGGGGGCCATCAAAATAGGGCTGGAAGAGGCGGGGCTGCGCGGGGCTGCGACGAGCTGCGGCGGGGCTGCGACGATCGAAGCTGCTGCTGTGTGCTGCGACGATCGGCGGCGGCGGAGGCACAGGAGGGGCCTTTCTCTCCTCTCCTCCCTCTTTCTTCCTCTCTCCTCCTCTTCCCCTCTGTTCTTCTCCTGTGTTCAACGAAGAAAGAAAGAAAAGGAAGAGAAATAAAAGGAAGAAGAAGAAAAAAAAAATCGCAAAACGACGTCGTTTTGCGATTTGAGCCAAAATCGGGCCACATTTTTCGAGCTACCAGTCATTTTCCTTTACCCATATGTGTATACAATTTTTTTTTTTTAAAAAAATATGGTAATCAATCACTTTTTTATGCCATTATAATAATATCACACAATACTTTGTTTAAAATATTTATTCTTTAATTTTTTGCAAATCCAATTATGTAAAAAAAAAATTTATAGGTTAGTTTTTGTGGGTGTTTGGAAAGTTACTATTTTAATAGGCTATTTTAGTTTTTGACTATTTTAGTAGGCTAAAATTTTTGTGTTTGGGAAGATAGTTGAATTTTTTTGTAGTTGAATGTGATATTTGTGAGAGAAAAAGTGAAATAATTATGAGTTTCATGTGACATTTGGTCTTATTGGCTATTTTAGCATATTTTATCTTTTTGTGGATTTTAGCCCAAAATGCCAAAAAAATAGCCTTTGCCAAACACCATTTTTAGTCTAATTTTTTGTAATACAATTTTAATGGAGAATAATGTTAAATCTTCCGCAATCAAAAAAATTTTAAAAATTGAGAAAAAGAAGCCTAAAAATAATTTTTTAAAAGCAAAAACTCAATTTGCAAACTGCCACGTACGCTATGCATAAACCGCAAACCGTACTATGGACGATTGTGAGTTCAATTTTTTCTAAACTGCAAACATGCGAACGGGTCCAAATCACAAATTAAACCGTCAAAAATCGATTCACGAGCACCCTAGTTTGTAATAAATTTTTAATTTTTAATTTATTCAATCTAAACTTGATTAACATTTATCTATATCTTTTAAAAGACAAATCTAACAAAATAATATGAATTTAATTATTAGTATGACAATTTCTATATCTATTATATGCCTTAATTATGCCGTTTGTAAAAAAAAAAAAAAAAATTATGATATATTGTGATATTACTAATGAGTTAATTATAATTTATTATAATATTAATTATCACTCATGGTGATGGCAATGTTGATTATGACCTGTAATACTAATTAGAAAAGAGATTTTTATTGATAAATCTATTTTAGAGTTGTTGTAACCCATTAAGTCCATAAAGGATTATTATAGCATGATTAGTCTCATGTACTTATCTTTTTATTCCATGCGGTCCATTCTACTAATTTTATATTTTTAAATAGATTGTTATGCCTTTATATATATATATATAGTGTTGATACACATACCACATTTCTGTTTTTTTTTTTTTTTTTTTGGTTTTTTTTTTTTTTGTGTTTTTTTTTTTCCCTTGTAGTATGGTTCGGTGATTTTGGAGTGAAAACGACGGATTGGATGGTGTTCGGTTGTGACATTTTTTGGAATAAACTAGTTGAAATCAGTTATTTTTGAGTTACAGGACGAGTGTAGGATTTTATGACTAAAGTTAGTATCATTTTGATTATGAATACATGTTCAGTTTATGTTTTGATTTATATGATGGATGAGATGCTCTGTTTTTTGATTGATATGAATCGGATGCTCTGTTTGTTCAATTACATGCATTTTATGTGGCCCTGTGGAGGGGAGGTAATTCAAATTATGTGAAGAATGTAGATGTTCACATTTTATTTGTAATGATAGTGGTGATATTTTGAGTTTGGTTTTGGCAATGTAAAATTTAAATATACGCATATACTTTGTATGTTCGTTTTATTTTATGTTTTGATTTATGTGGTGATGTAAGTTTTTGTTCGGTGAGTTTTTGATGTTTTCTTAATGAGGCTCTGTGTAGGCGAGATAATTCAAAGTACATGTAACAATTTGAATGTTCACATCTTGCTTGCATGTTGTGTACTGTCACCTTATTCTGGTGGTGTTATTTTGATATTGTAAAATGTTTTATATTGTGTAAAGATAGTGGTGATAGTTTTCATTATGGATTTAGCAGTTGAACTAGACACATAGGCATTTAATTTTGCACAATGTGAATTTTCATATCGTTCGAATTATTATATGTGTTGTTGTTCGTATGGTTGTAATGTGGTTGTTGATTGTTGTATCGTTGTGTTTTTACAGGAGATGGATACCTTTATGATGTTGGTGTGCACATATGGTTACAGTACAACTGTAATAAATGTTGCCCACGCATTGTGTTATTTGCGTTTTGTGGAATGTTTGTGTGAAAAATGAGGTGAGTTGTCTGCTTGTTCTATTTCATTGTTCTGTTGGCTACCTAGGATTAATAAGTGTGATTTGGACAATAAGGAAGAATTTCAGAACATGTTATTGCTTGTTAAATCAATTGGGGTACAACATATAGAAGTCGTTGTTGAGTTAAAAAGTGATATTGGTCAGTCGAGTAGCGTTGGGTCGCTGTGTGTGGGGAATGAGGAAGAAATTGATGCACTTCCGAGATTTTTCCACCATAAGGAGAATGTATTGTTGTCAGCCCCTTAGACAAATGGTATTACGCATACGGGACAACAATTTGTTTGAGGTGCACAAGAATTTCGTGATGTTTTATGTAAGTATGCCATCCAATGTGGGTTTCAGTTTACGTTTGTCAAGAATAAGACAACAAGGGTTACTACGGTGTGTACGATGCGCGAGGAGAGAGGTTGCTTATGGGCTATACATTGTAAAGCACAATGAGCAAATGGTTTTTTCTACATCAAGAAGTTCAATGTTGTGCATAGTTGTGGTACGAATGTCCAAACATTGAAGAATCCGAGAGTTAGTTCTGATTTGGTATCGAGTACTATATCTGAAATTGTAAGGGACAAGCCATTGACTCGGCCATGTGAGGTGGTAACTATTTTGAAAAGGAATTATGGGCTAGATGTGAGTTACCACGTGGTATGGTTGGGCGTGGAGAAAGCAAAAGCTGTTATTCATGGAGATCACTCATTATCGTTTGACCAGTTGCGGTAGTATTCGGATGCTGTGATGCGTTACAATCCGGGAAGTTATGTCAATATTGACTATGATACGAGTAGTCAACAGTTTTGTCGTTTCTTTGTATCATTCGCTACGTGTATTTTTGGGTACAATTCTTGTCGGCCTTTATTATTCCTAGATGAAACATTCCTCAAAGGAAAGTACAAAGGTAGCTACTTGCGGCAATGGCAAAAGATGGAAATAATGGTTAGTATTTTTTTTAGCCATCTATTCATGTAAATATTCACATTGAGCAGCATAGTGTGGACATATGATAGACCATTACACAGTGTAAACATTCACATGACCTATTTCCTTTATAGTATTTTTGTAAACTACTTGTGTTACTATTCACATTGGAATATTGTGAACGGTTGTTTAATGGTGTTGTGTTGTAGGTCTATTCTCTGTTGCATTTGCGATTGTTGATTCAGAGACCATGGCCAATTGGTCGTGGTTCGTGCACGAACTTGGAAAAGTTATTGATGGTAAGCATCAAATTACTTTTATTTCGGACCGTAATCTTGGTCTGTTAGAAGCGATACCGAAGGTGTTCCCATCGGCTCACCACAGTTATTGCTTACAACACTTGAAGAACAATTTAAGAGACCGGATGTATAGCGATCCCGGTTGTCCATTTTCTGTTCAGTTGTATTCCGGACTCGGTTCCGTGGAATTGGTAGTTGTATCTATCTTGTTGTCATCCTTTAAATCCATTTGCTTGAGTTTTAGGATGTGTTAGGCTTGGTTGTTACAGGTTGGTAGAGCTTTGGCTCCCATTGTTGTTGCCTAGTTTTTTGAGTGGTCCGCTCGAGCGGGTCATTTTGCGCTCGAGCGGGGTTTACACCCTTCCAGCATTTCGAGTCCCTGCAAAACTTCTACAGGTGTGTTTTCTACGCTCGAGCGGGTTTCTTGCGCTCGAGCGGGCTTGTTGGCGCTCGAGTGGGTAGTACCTTATTGGTGAAAATTCTGGGAGATGAAAATCTACGCTCGAGCGGACTGGTCTTTTGCGCTCGAGTGGGTGTCCTTTGGCTTTGTGTCTTGGCGCTCGAGCGGGCATTCTTGCGCTCGAGCGTCCTGTTATCCGCTCGAGCGTCCTATTATCCGCTCGAGTGGGAATGTCGTATATCAGTTGGCAGCTGAGCATTTTAAAATCACTTTTTACATTCTCTCTCTCTCTCTTACTTTCTAAAAAGATATTTTGAGAGCTCCTCTCTCTAGAAACTCCCTTCTCTCTAGGGTTTGATCTAATTAGAGTGTCTCTCTATCCTCCGGCCTTTGTAAAAAGTGTGTTGATCGTCGAGGGCTCCATTTTGATCAATGGATCTTTGAGTTTGGAGCATTTTGATTTTCTTCAACTTTCCTGTTTGAGCTCTAACTTCGAGGTAGGGATATCCTACTCCTCTTTATGAGCTTTGTCTTTGAATTTTAGCATTTTGATATGTTGGGGGTTGTTGGGTAATTTTGAGAAAGTTTGGATCTTTGTGTAATTTTACAAAAGATGGGGTTTTATTTATAATTAAACCTATATGCATGCTTGGCATAGAGAAATGATATAGATGATGAACTATGGATGAAAGTGGAACCTTGGGGTTGTTATGTTAATTATGGGAAAATGCCCTAATTAGTTGGATAAATTAATTTGTATAATTAATTTTGAAAAATGAGGAATTGAATTGAGAGTATTCAAATTGAAAAGATTATGGGACAAACGGGTGTAGTTGGATTCATTTAATCGCTCACCCAGATTGAATGTTGATAATATATCTATTTGGTGCATTTATTTCCTGTTTAGAAATAATTGCTTTGGGCTATCGGTGGAGGATAGCCTTGATTGTTGTAGACAATGCATGATGATTAGGCAAACTAAAACTAATCGATTGAGTATGCTATTGAATATAGCGGTTAGAATAATACATAGACTTTATGTATTGATTGTTTGTGTATATGATCTATGTTTATATACATTGTGTGTGTGGGAGGAGATAGGGGATGTACTCCACGGTTTAGGGGGAGATAGGGGATGTACTCCACGGTTTAGGGGAAGATTAAATTGATTTGATATAGGGGATGGACCTCTAAGCCGGATTGTGTGTGTGACATTGATACAGCACTACCATGTGTATCAAGTGTTGATTATGGAAGTGTTTAAATTGATTTGATATAGCACTAAAATGTATATCGTTATCAATTGTGAGATATAGAAGTGTTTCTATGTTATGTTGATACAGCACCAAAATATGTATCGTTCGTATAGTATGGGCAGTGGTTTATGTGTTATTGATACAGCATCAAAATGTGTATCCACCATGAATTTCAAAAGTGTTTTTAAAATGAGTCTTATTCTCATTAAGTTATTTGACTAAATGTTGAGCCTTGTTTTCAAACTCAAGGTTGAAAAAGAAATGAGAAATTAAGTGTAACATGGACTTAAATGTCATGAAACTGAAATGTGATATAAGTGAGTGTATCGGTGTTGACCATCTATCAACTGCTAATCTTTTAGTCATTCACTACAAAAAAATTGACTTTTTGCGACGGTAAAATACCGTCGCTAATACTCCTAATGCCGTCGCTAATACTTTTTGCGACGGCAAAATGACTTTTTGCGACGGCAAGAGGGGGTCGCAACTGCAGGGGTTGCAAAAGAGTTTTTGCGACGGTAAGTGCCGTCGCTAATGTTTTGCGACGACATTTTTTACCTTTTTGCGACGGCACCGTGCAGTCGCTAATAACGTTTGAAATTTCTTGACTTTTTTGCGACGGCCCTATTTTACCGTCGCTAAAAATATTATTTGAGACGGCAAAAAACACTGTCACTAATAGTCTTTTTTTTAAAAAAAAATTACTATTTTTTGCAACAGTGTGATGCCGTCGCAGAAAGTATAAAAAATATGAAATTTTCTATTTTTTGCGACTGTTAATGCCGTCGCAAAAAATATTAAAAAATAATAAAATTTCTATTTTAATAATAAAATTTCTATTTTTTGTGACAGTATAATGTCGTCGCAAAAAGTAAAACCTATAACAAAATTAATAAAAATACTAAAATTTTCTATTTTTTCCGACGATGGTGCCATCTCTCACTCTCTAAGAGCTGATTATTTACATTCCATTCACAAAAACATCATAACATAAAATAAAAATAAAAATTGATCAAACCATCAAATTTAATATCTTACAAAGAATAATTAAACTGTACATGTTCATAAAAGCATATTTAAATTATAAAATTCACCCAAATCCATGATCCCATTGATTTGCTATACTTGACCCCAAAGTCAAATAATAACATCAAACTCTTAGCCCATGATACTGACTGAACCAGATAACCAGCTGCTTTATTTTTTGGCACCAACAATTGATATAAAAAAATAAATAAATAAGTAAAATTTCATTTCCTTACAAATTCCAAACCTAAACATAGCATGAATAAATTATATAGAATTTTTTAGAAAAATTGCTACACAATCTCACATTTCCTATTCACAAGACAGACAAGCAATAGAACTAATCCCTTGCAGTTTCTCACTTTCCCTATAGGGGGATAGATCCCTACAGTTTAGCTGTGCACTCGTGATGGTACACTGCATAGAGACCACAACCCATTCTGTTGATTGAACACACAATAAAAAAATACAGTCCCCACTATGATGCTCAAAAGAATCAAAGGATTTGGCATTCAATTTCCCTTGTAATTATTCAGATGTGCTTGTATATAGCCTCTCTAAGTCTTAATAGTTTTATTCCCTGATATCAAGCATACTGTGATGGAACACATGATGCACTCAAACCTCGTGACTATAAAATGACTATGGACAAACTGAACGATAGCAGTCTTGTAGCGTGCACTGTTTTAGAAATTGTAATACTAAAATGATATTATAGTTCATGGACTGTTATGGTGCACAATGAAAGTCAGGAAACCTCTGAAATTAAAAACGTAAGTGTGCTATATGACAAAGGACACCAAGTACAAGTTAAAGGAGATCTCTTTTACAGTGTCCGGCTCCATTTCAGATGGTGACAGTAATAGATCAAAGCAGTGCCCAGATATTGTACAAACCAAAAGCACATTTGTAGGGTCCAAAACAGCTTCTCTGCATGTATCATCACAAACTGCATGAACAAAGAACATAAACCAATAAACTTCAATCAAGTTATGTATAAAAATCTATGCAATTGTACCAAATTTACAAACAAGCAAGGTTGCTATATTCAATAACCACAACTAGTGATGCATACCATGGACCTGTCCGGTCTTCTCACAAACGAATACATCTCCAATTTGATAATAAGAACATGTTTCTCCAGAGCAATCATGATTGGGGACCACCTTATTAGTTAGGCCTCTGCTGCTTTTCCATATAGATACTTGATCAGCAACAGTCTTATCAAGAATAATCTGGTCATCATTCACCTTTAGATACACAAGAAAAATAAATGATAAATGAAGGAAATGCCTGTCTTATTGTTATGAGCCTCATTTAAAGAGAGATCAGTAAATTTATCCCTATTTGTTCTGGAGTAAACAATCAAGTTTCAAGAGAGATCAGTAAATTTATCGACAAATATGATGTCACTCTCGATGTCTGCTCATCATCCGTTGGTTCACAAGCATAGGTTCTTAATCAATTGGTAGGCCTAGATCTCCAGCTCTCCTATACTTGTTTGTTTCTTTATCTTTAGGAAACTCTTGTTTTCCTCTTCTTTTACTGTGTTAATCAGTCTTGGCTCCATCTATATCAATCTTCATTTACAACAAGATACAAAGAACATAGATGTCTGTGTAGAAGATGAAACGGTTACTTACTTGAACCGGGAAGATGTACAGAAAGCTTCCCATGCATGGCTTGTTGGAGTCACTGCATGGAGTGTTTACAACACGTAATAATCCTCATCTTGTTGCAGAAAATGAAAAAAAGAAAGAAGAAAGAAAAAAATAATTTTAACACAATAATCATATTCGGAGTTCCCATCTTTATATAGAATTAAGAAAAACATTTTGAATATATAACACGAATTGTGTAGCCTCCACAACCTAGTTGAGAAATGGGTAGATTAGATTGAATGGGATCTGCCAAGGCAGTGTTTGAATCATGGATTTAGCTTATATTTCATTGGTGAATGAATTGGCAAAGGAGTTGGAATTGAAAACCACTGTTCCATACAGAGTTTGGTTTGAAGGGAGACAAGTCACTGGATGGACACAAGTATATGGTGATATACTATCTTTTGCCACCATTAAAGGAGCTGCGCATGAAGCTCCATTTTCACAACCAGAGAGATTGCTTGTTCTTTTTAATTCATTTTTGGGTGGAAATCCACCACCAGAGGCAGTACTGTCTGCTGAGAGCATATAAAATTAAGCAATTCAGTCATGTTCTGTGATTGTATTGAGTAAGAAGATGATATCTGTTCTTGCCAATGAAAAACCAAAAAAGGAGGTACAATCCAAGGGTAATGCTAGAATTCAAGAAAGAAATATTATGAAAAACTTCATGAAGATTCTCCACCCTTTTGATTAGTTTGTGGTGTTTTATTGTATGTATAATCCAAGGGTGGAGAATCTTCATGAAACTTTTCATGATATTTCTTTCATGAAGCTTAGCATTACTCTAAGTCAATTAAAACTCCCAGCTGGACCATTTGAAATTAAGAATTAACAAGGATTAGAAGGCAGTAAGTTGATGCACAACTAACTAATGGCTGTTGATGGTATCCTATGCCACCCCAAGATGGAGGTGCAGGATTCACAAGTTTGCACGACTGAACTGATCCCCCACGTGAAGTCACAATTGATACTCTCAAGACCAAGCTTAGGAACCCACAAGTGCAAAAACCACATACATAAATGCGAGGACATCATAATATTTTTGGCAGCTAACATGTACAACAGAAACTGAACCTTCTTACAAACAGTATACCTGCTTTGTCAGAAACTCAAGTGTAAGCTGTATAAACGTTTTGTTGAGGTCATTCTGATCAACGCCGATCTGGAAAAGAAATAGGTATGCTATTAGCATACAGTAATGGTAGTAGTTGCTGTCTCATGGTCAAAGTTATTTATCATTGAAGATTTTACTACTTGTTAATGTTCGGAAGGGTTGGTGACAGAATGGCAACAAAGTGTTCCACAGTTTCTCTCTCCAACTGTTCTAACTTTTTATTTTTATTATTATTATTATTATATCAAATAATCAATGCACTCATGTTCCCCACTAACAGTGTCCACTTTTGACCCAAACCATTTTCAATCCATCATTTCTCCTTCACCTTTTGCACCCCACTCACCGACTCTCTCTCCACTTTATCACATGGGTTTGTCCCTCTCTCTCCTCCATTTGATTTCAAAAATCACTTATTTTTATTTATTTTTTCCAAATCACTTTTCCTCTTTTTTAAATACCCCACTTTATTTTGAAACAATCGCACTGATGTTTTTCATATAATCCATCTATAAATATTTTTTATCTATTTTCTTTCTCCCTTGTTTTCTTTCATTTTATTTTTATTTTTTAAAAAAAACACGGATTTTCAATAAAAGTTGCCAAATCTGGACTCTCATCTATGTTTTACATTGCACTTGTGAGAATAGATCAAAGAGATCTCGGGGGTCCGAACTGTTTAACGCGCGCGGGTACCCCCCGGGCATGTTACAGTAACATGGACTTAAATGTCATGAAACTGAAATGTGATATAAGTGAGTGTATCGGTGTTGACCATCTATCAACTGCTAATCTTTTAGTCATTGTTCATAGCTGGTTTAGTGTATTGCTGCTGGGCTGTGGCTCGCCCTTTATGGGACATCATTTTCAGGTACAGGTAGCATGCCACCTCCAAGGACATAGCTTGGGAGGCTAGAGGCAGACAGACTGCTTTGTTGTTTGCTTTCTTTTGATGTATTACATGTAAATTCAAGCTAAGGGCTTAATATATATTGAGTTAGCACTCTTCTTTTTCGTAACCAAGTGTTAACTTGGAAAGCTGTAAGCTCGTAGGGCATTGGCTTTTGTTGTTAACATGTAATACTTTTGTAAGAACTACTCAGATTAATGGAAAGATGGTTGGTTTCTTTGTATCAATGCATGTCTAAAGAAATGGGTTTTATGTTTTTTTTTTGAGGGCATTACAACTTGGTATCAGAGCGTACCGGGTTCAAATACTTTGGGTACGTGGGAAGTGATTAGTATCACAATGGGTTTGTCTCGCTTGTTAGAGACTTATGTGCGACATTATGTGTTTAATTGATAACATGTTTATGTGACTACTTGGGTATGGGATTTAGCTTCTAGGATGTTGATTGAATCCTTGGGTTTCTGTGAGTCTTGTTGGAAAAGCACTTGATCAATGCTGTTTCTAACTGGAACTCTAGTAATGCCTCGGGACTATCATTATCCGGAAATGAAATTCATAAGTGCTTATGTGATTATGTGCTTACATGGAGTGAATTATAGTTGTCCATGCATTAAGACGCGAGTGTTATAGCTTCGGCACATTTGTGAATGTGCTAATAGTCTTGGTTACCTTTATTAGGATGTTAGGACGAGGACGTAGTAGACGTGGCAAACGTGGTAAGCAGGAGATGCCTTTACCGGGTGATATTCCGGCACAGCAGGAGGGGGTTGGCCAGGCCAATGTGGCCGAGCCAGTAGGTCAGGAGGCTATGGGCGCTTTGGCCCGAGGAATAGCCGATGCTTTGAGGGAGTCTATGGGGATTCTCAGAGCTGAGAATCCAGTTTAGGCTCCAGTTCAGGCCCAGGTTGTTGAGGCAAGGCCTTCCTTCTTGAAAAAGGAGTTCTTCCGGTCTAACCCGGACGAGTTTATTGGGGATCCGAAGGAGCCACTGAAGGCTGACGAGTGGTTAGAGCAAATGAGTAAGACGTTCGAGATGCTTGGCATCGAGGACGGAGCGTTGAAAGTGACCTTGGCATCCTTCCAGCTTAAAGGAGGTGTGGGTCAGTGGTGGAAATACATGAGGGGCCGTATTGCTAGCACGTGGGAGGCTTTTGTGGAGGCCTTTCAGGAGAAGTATTTATCTCCAGCAGTCAGGGAGAAGCTGAGAGACCAGTTCTGTCAGCTTTTGCAGTTGAGTTCTTCAGTAGCCGAGTATGAGGCTGTTTTTACTAGCTTGTCCAGGTTCGCGCATGAACTTGTGGCGTCCGAGGAACGCCACTGTATCGAGTTCGAGAAGAGGTTGAGGCGCGGCCTCAAGATGAGAGTTGGAGGTTTGATGATCCGAGATTATGGGCGCTTGGTTGATGCTGCAGGCCATATGGAGATCATGATGCAGGAAGATGAGGGACAGAGAGGCTCCAAGAGGAGCCAAGATGGTCAGGGTGATGGCAGGAAACAGAGGGGTGCAAACCCTCAGCAGTCTCAGGGTGGTGTTGCTAGATCGACCTTTCCAGTGCCGAGTACAGGCTCGGGGAGAGGTAATCAGGGGGTAATCAGCGGTTTGGTTGACAAATAATGTCGATTTCAACTTGGCGGTTCAGGTGGATTGGCGGTTTATAAAAAAAAATAATTCAAATTATCAATGGGCTAACTATGAACAACAATATTGTGTTTTCATTTGCACAGCAATTTTCAGCAATATTGTTTGCATTATGCACAGTTCATGTGCTGTTGTTGGTCAAAGTTTTTTTTTCCCCCTACACTACATGCATGAACTTAATCCAATATAAAATGAATAAAGCACTTTGATTAAAGTAAAAATTATCTTAAATTACAGGTATAAATATAATCTATCTTGTTCTTTTTTGTCAAAATGATAAGCCACCATTTGAATAGTGGCTGGGCCACAGAAACAGCCCACAGTTCACCCTCAACCCACTACTATTCAAAAATAACCCACCTAATTATGTCCATAAATCCACCAAGTAATAAATACTTGCCTATTTGTCCACTTTGGCAAGAGATACATTCAGTTCAGGAATGGAAAGAGAGCAGAGACAGAGAGAGAGGAAGGAGGGAAAAGAGCCACGTACCAAGCAACTCGGTGAGGAAAGAGCAACAACAGTGAGCAGAAAGCAGCAACGGTGAGCAGACAGCAGTGGCGGAAAGGCTAACGGTGGTGACAACAAGGCTAGGGCAGTGCCAATCGGCAAGGTAAGGAAGGAAGAGGAGCAATATCAGAGAGCAGCAGCGGCGATGAAAGAATGAGATGAAATGTTTAGGGTTTAATTGAGAATTTATTATGTGTGTGTGTGAGTATATGTACATTTGGTATAATGGATGTAATCTAATGGTTGGAAATGTAACATTGAGGCTGGATGTATATACAGACAGTGGAAGAGGGAAATTTTCAGCAAAGTGGCGGGTCGGTCGGCTTATTAGGCGGGTTGGCATTTTCAAACCGCCACCCGTGCCAACCCGCCATAATTGGAACCATTGGAACCCCAACCCGCCCGTTAGAATTGAAAAAATGCACGAATCAGAGCGATTCGGTGCAGTTTTGGCGGTTTTGACAGTATTGCGCACAACCCTAGTGGCAGTACATTATTTCTAGTGTCTTTACAGTGTGTATATGTGTGTGTTTTGTACACATTTATGAGTGCCATACATTGTTGTGTATTGATTCTTCCTTGATGATGTGTATGATGTCATCAAAATACACGTTTCTAGACTTTGAGTTCCCTTGCCACACAAGCAACCTGTGCATTGTGATTACGAAAAATGTGAATGTTAACATTGCACAATTATAAAATGATCTAATCTATTAAGTACATATGTGAAGCTTAACATCATCATAAAAATAAATTCAATCTCAATATGTATGATCACTTACTCATCACCACCGTTCTTGTGCAAATTTTGGACCTTCTGCTTGTTAAGTTTGCTCATGTTTGGCCAAACTATCAGTTTGTTGGTCAATGTTAACTTCTTGTACTTTGTTGGATGTTTTTTTTTTTTTTTTTTGTGGATGTTTGTCTAAATCTTGTATAATGTGGACTGTATGGG